TGTGAGGGAGGAGGGGGAGTGGAGGGGGGAGCTGGTGGTGAGTGGCGGTTTCGAGGCCTGATTGGTGCAACACTGGCTGGGGGCGGGGTCTCCGTCTGCTGGTCTAAGACTTCCCGGGGTTGCGGGGGAGAGGGGGAGTGGGGGGTGGTGAGTGGCAGTGTCGAGGCCTGATTGGTGCAAGACTGGTTGGGGGCAGGGTCTGGGCCTCTTGGTCCAAGTCTTCTGGGGTTGGGGGAGGTGGAGGGGGTGTGGTGGAGGGTGAGTGGCGGTGTCGAGGCCTGATTGGTGCAAGACTGGCTGGGGGCGGAGCCTGGGCCTGGTGGTCTGACTTCCTGGGGTTGGGGGAGGTGGAGAGGAAGTGGGGGGGGGTGAGTGGCGGTGTTGAGGCCTGATTGGTGCAAGATTGGCTGGGGGTAGGGTCTGGGCCTGTTGGTCTAAGACCTCGTGGGGTTGGTGGAGGTGTCGAGACCTGACTGTGCAAGATCGATTGGTGTCGGAAGTGTTGGAGGTGGGGTCTGGGCCTGCTGGTCCAAGACCTCGTGGGTTGGGGGAGGTGCAGGCGGGTGGGTGGGTGTGGCGAGTGGTGTCGAGACCCGATTGGTGCAAGATTGGTTGGCGGCAGAAGTGTTGGGGGTGGGGTCTGGGCCTAGCGGTGTAAGGCCGGGTGGGGTTGGGGGAGGTGCAGGCGGGAGGGTGGGTGTGGCGAGTGGTGTCGAGACCTGATTGGTGCAAGATTGGCTGGCGGCGGAAGTGTTGGGGGCAGGGTCTGGGCCTGTCGGTGTAAGGTCTCCTGAGGACCAGAAGGGGGAGAGGAAGGGGGCGGGGGTGAGTGGAGGTTTTGAGGCCTGATTGGTGCAAGATTGGCTGGCTGCGGAAGTGTTGGGGGCGGGGTCTGGGCCTGTTGGTGTAAGGCCTCCTGGGGACCAGAAGGGGGAGCACGGGGGCGGGGGTGAGTGGAGGTTTCAAGGCCATGTTCATGCAAGACAGGCTGAGGCAGAAAGCGAGTATAGGGAGATAAAGGAATTGGGGGAGGGTGGAGAACGGTTGGAGGTGGGGGTGACCTGATCCCGTGTAAGACCAGCGGGAGGTGGATACTGTAGGGGGATGGGGAGAGTAGAGGTTGGATAGCGGTATGTAGTGGCCTGGTCTGTGTAAGACTGCCTGGGAATAGGAGTAGAGAGGTGGAGGGGTGGCGGAGTAGAGGGGTCAAATCCTGATAGGTGGAAGACTTCTGGGGCTTAAGGCAGGAGTAGGGAGAGTACAGGTGTGGGGAGAGTGGCGGGCCAGCAGGGATGTGGGGAGTGGGAATCCCTTTTGAGAGAAGCTGTCCCTGGGCCAGGGACTGAATAGGAGTTAGTGCATTATAAATCCTTACAATGGGGAGAAAATTTCTCTGGGGGTTAATAAATGAATGATTGGATTGTCCTTGCACATCTTATAATGTGGTGGTTGAGGTGACCACCATGTGCTTTGGGCTTTCTGACTGATCTGCAAAGAACCTTTGCGGGGCATGGTGGGAGAGGGTGTCTCTCTAGTTTTCTCCATCCAGGAAAAGCCTGCAACAAACATTTAAATACGTTTCGCAGAGCAAAGCTTTGGCCTAAAATTAGGGTGAGTAAGCTGCTCAAAAGATAAATGCAGATTGTAGAAATGTTGGTTCTGGGGGCACCTGGGTGGCTCAGTTGGTTAAGTGTTGGACTCTTGATCTCAGCTCAGATCTTGGTATCAGGGTCGTGAGTTCAAACCCCCCTGCACTGGGCTCCATGCTGGGCATGGGGCCTACTAAAAAAAGAAAAAAGAAAAGAAATGTTGGTTCTGGGTTTTGGTTTTCTTTAAAGAGTATATTTTTGTCTTGACTATAGACATGGACATGTCGGAAGAAGCAGCTGGCCAGTCTAAGATCCAGGATGATGATTGGTGAGACCTGAAAAATTGTTTTCTTTTAGTTTAGACCTTCTTGTGTTGGCAAAATGACTTTCTCAAAAAGCGTATGTTTCTTTCATTTCGAGTTTGCAGAGTTAGTCATAAAATGAGAATTGTAAAAGGGATCGTAGAATCATATAGGAGTCCAGCCTCTTACTCAGTGCACGAATTCTCTATATAACGTCTCTCTCAGTGGCCAGGAGCACACAACTTCATGAAGCAACACAGTGCATTGTTGAACATGTGTAATTTCTAGAAAGTTCTTCATTCTAATGAACTTAAAACTTAGGTTACTTCCATCCCATTGATCACAGTGCTGTCCTCTAGAGGTACACAGATGAAGTGTTTTTCTTCTCCGTGATAAGGGGGTATTTTAAGATAGTTGTCTCATCTCTTAAGTCTTCTCTCTCCTGGAACACTGCCCTGATTGCCTCCTTCACAGATAAGCGTGTAAGCATATAATATGGGAGAAAGTAGAAACCATAGAACAGAGAGTCTGGAAATAGACCCAAATACCCAAATGTGAAAATTGAGTTCATGATTAAAAAATGACATTTCAAATCAGTGGGGAAAAGATGGATTCATCAACAAATAATTTGAAGATAATTGGCTAACCATTTGGAAAAAAACAAGAATTGGATTCTTACCTCCTCTCTCCTTACAACAAAAGAAATGACACATGGATAAAATATTTAAAAATAAAAAAGGAAATCATTTAAAAATGTTAAAAAACAGGTGGATTTCGTTTCTAATAATTTTGGAGTGGGGGAAGCCTCAGTTTGATATCAAACAAAAGTATAAAAATGACAAACTGGAAAAGTATTCACATTACTCATGATAAAAGGCTATTTTTCTTAATCTACAAAGAACTTTTACAGGTCAACAATTAAAAAAAGGTGAACCACACACATGAAAACTGGGCAAAAGATATCAGAAGGAAGTTCTTAGGAACAGTTGACCCATAGACATTAAAATTTATTCAGTTTTACATTACTTATATATGAAGAAATGAAAAAAATTTTCATGAGATACCATTTTTCATAGATCAGATTGGCAAAGATTAAAAAAATTGGTAATAACTGGAGTTGGCAAATTTGTAGGAGAACAGGCAATTTCTTACAGCCATCGTGGGAATATAAATTGGTGCAACCTTTTTGGAGGGCAATCTGGAAATACCCACATTGTAAATGCCCATGTCCTTTGACCCAGTAATTACTAGGACTTTTTCTTTCCCTGTTAGAACAATTTTATTTAATTTCTCTCTGTGTGTGTGTGTGTGTGTGTGTATATATATATATTCACATATACTGAAATGCATAAATGTGGTTATGTCATACATTCTTTCTGTGTATTCACTCTTACTTGTTCTTGACTCCTTTGCCCCTTCTCCCATGTCCCTTTTCCCTATAACTCATTTATTTCATCACATATGGACATATACAGGCTGATTTGGTCTTTGTTCAGTTCTGGGGAAGAAGGATGAATGACTTAATTACTAGTCCACAGAGAAATACATACAAGGATGTTCATTGCAGCATTGTTTGTAATAGCACAAATTTGGAAAGAGTTTAAGTGTCTTAAGGGTGTAGTTGAATGGATTATGGTTCATCCAAAAAAGTGTGGTAAGAAATGTTGTTCTGGTAACGGCAAGTTAAAGTTAAACATGAAGTTAAAAACTACCAGTGGCTGAACAATCCATGTAGCACAATACTATTTATTTTAAAAGATGTGTGCACTTGACTTGTGCTGGTATGTGCTTATGTTTAAGAGCTTTCTAGAAGAGTAAATAAGACACATTGTTTATTCCTGGTGAGTGGGACTCTTGGAGGAACAGGGACAAAGTGTTCCTCTCCCTCACTCCTCTTTTCAGTGTTCTTTATCACTCAGAAAGCTATCTGGTGAACATAACATTGATAGTCATTAAAATGGAAGGGGGGATTAGCAAAAGAATGCAGCAAACAAACATTGGAAAATACACGTCTTAAGTAATAAAAAGAAATGCGAATTTCAATGTTGTTTACCTACTAAATTAGCGAATGAAAAAAAATTATCCTATTATAGTAATGTTGAACTGTACACTGCTCTAACCCTTTGGAAACGATTAAGCAAATGTATCAAGAGCTATAAAATTGGTCATACCTTTGATGAATTTGACTTTTGGGAATTAACTTTGGGGAGATCCACTTTATAAAAGTAATTAAATGCACAAAGATGCTCGTTGCAGCATTCAACTGAAAAATTAATGTGTGTTATCAAAAATGCAGAGGGTAAAATTCCAAGCTCTCTCCCTGACCCTCAGTCACTTGCCCCAAATAGTGCCCTTGGTGGATGGTTGGCATTAGTTCTCCTGAGAAGTAAACAGGCAGTCTGCTTTATTAGCCCCTTGCAAATCTGATTAACAGGAGTCCTTCCTCTAGCATTTGATGAAGCATTGAGAGACCCCAGTTCCCGAAGCTACAGCTGCGAAGACCAGATCCTAGAGTTCTGGGTGGAAGATGGCTCTTGAGGCTGGATAGTGACCGGCCAGGCTCTCCACCCACCCCCACTGCAAGTCGGGACCATTAACGTTTCAAGATCTGGGCACTGTGTTTTCATCAGTGCAGATGATGCTGTTTTTTTGTGTGTTCGTTTTTACTTTGGGCTCACTCTGTACCTCACATAACCTTCACATAAGGCTCACATAAACTGGTCATGTGTAATTTTTTAAATGGAGAACATTTAAAGAGATCTTTAAATGGTGAGATCTCGTAGGCAAAGTCTTTTAAAAACAAGGTTCTACGGGGGTGTGAGTGGGAGGGTAGAAAATAATAAAAGGGGTCCTCGGAACCACTTTTTGAGATTCGTTCATTCTATTATTCAGCCAGATAGTCGAGTACTGACTTTGCACTGAACAGTGTGAAACAGGTATACTTCCAAATCCTTGTATGGTTTACTGTCTGGGATGGGAGATAGAAACATGTAAGCAAGCAGTTACGGTGTAGTGTGATAAATGCTGTGATGTGGGAGAGGTATGTGATCCTGTAGGAGGGCAGACATTATCTTATTTTTCGCAGTAGCCCTATGAGATAAGTGGTTCTTTTTTTTAAAGATATATTTATTTTAGAGAGAGAGTGGGGGGAGGAGCAGAGGGAGAGGGAGAGAGAAAGAATCTCAAGCAGACGCCCCACTGAGCGCAGAGCCCAACAGGGGCTCGATCTCAACGACCCCAAGAGCATGACCTGAGCCGAAATTAAGAGCTTAACTGACTGAGCCACCCAGGCACCCCAATTCTGAGACTTTTCCCCCACAGTTTCGAAATTGGGATCCATCACACATTTGATAGCATGTCATCCCTTCCTAGTGTTTTTTTTTTTCTTTCTTGGAGGTACATAGGTCTCAGATGAGATGGAATGTATTCTAGAAGTAGAGCCAACAGGTCTTGCTGATGGATTGGATGTGGGAGGTGAGCGAAAAAGAGAGGAATCAAGGATGACTCCTCTAAGTTTTTGGTTTGTGTTACTGGGTGGATGGTGGTGCCATTGACCGAGATTGGTAAGTCTCCTATAGGAACAGGATTGAGGGAGGAAATCAAGAATTCTGTACTGGCTATGTGACGTTTCAAATGCTTAGTAAATGTCCAAGAGGTCACGCAAACAGTTGGAGCTCAGTGAAGAGTTTGAGGCTGGAAATAGAAAATTGGGGGATTTGGGGTCTTAGAATAGTAGAATGAATGATCCAGGAGAGAGGGGACAATAGTGCAACACAGAATGGAAAATTGCAGGAATAAAATCCTTGAGAAGGCGGGAGGGGGATGAGATCCAAAGTGCAGGGGAGGGTTTGGCCAGAGACAGGGGTAGGAACATTGTGTTCATTGTTAACTGTAAAGACATAAGAGAATCGGGTGTAGTTGCAGATAGGACAGTAGATTCCCTGGTGGGAGGACGTGGCAGTTCCTGTCTGATGGCTTTATTTTCCCGGTGACTTATGAGACAAGGTCGTTAACAGAGTGAAGGAGGTTTCCACAGTTTGAAGGCAGAAGGACGGCTGAAATGCACAATGCAAGGGGGAGGAGACTGGTTTTCATTGATCAACCAAAGTCCAGTTAGTAGGCTCTGGTGGCCTGGCCACTGACTAGCCTTTTTTCAGCCCAAGATGCGTTGTTTTGTTAATACTACAAGATGGATGAGCAGAAATACCGTATTTTAAAAATTACCAGGGGCGCCTGAGTGTCTCAGTCAGTTGAGCCTCCAGCTCTTGGTTTCAGCTCAGGTTATGATCTCAGGGTCCTGGGATCGATCCCCACGTCGGGCTCTGTGCTCAATGTGGAGCCTGCTTAAGATTCTCTTCTCCCTCTGCCCCTCTCCACCCCCCCCACCATGCGCACACACTCTCTCTCAAATATATAGATAAATAAAATCTTTAAAGAAAGAGAACCAAGGTCACGTTTTGACCAGTACCTGGGAAACCTTACACCCAGCAAGAGTTTTCTTTGCTGATTAAGAAAAAATTTTGATGCTGAAACCAATAATACATTATATGTTAACTAATTAAATTTAAATTTTAAGTAATTGGAAAAAATTTGACGTCTACTCCTGAGTAAGTCCAGTGTACAGTGACAGATACATGAACAGGAAATTGAACCAAGGGGGTGAGTCAGCATGTGTCTTGAAAAACTGAAAAATATTATCGATCCAATATTATAACCCAATATAAAAATATTATCAATCCAATATATTATCAATCTAATAACCAACCTCAAGGTTAAAATGAATGCCCTGAAGAAGTGGTGAGAGTTAACTTGATATATGTAAGACCTTATACATAAATCCTTATAACTATTAGGTTCACCTTTAGCACTTCTGGTTTCCTCTCTGAGCTCTGTGTCACGCTAACTAATGCTAAGATAACCTGTGATTAGGTCCTAGATTGTAGCCCGGTGCATTATTGGGGGGCAGAGAAGCAAGAGGTCCCAGCATCATGGTTCACTGCAGGGAGCAGCTGTAGCTGGGCAATCACCCTTCGTTTGCTTCCCAAGAAATGGATTTCAGCATTTGCCCATTTAGCCAGACAGCAGTCCCAATAAATAGGCCCTCTTCAAGCCAGTAAAGCCCTAAAAGGTGTCCTTGCTCTTTTGTCCTTCTGATTTTTAGCTGTAATCTCTTCATCCTCGAGTCCTTTCACGTGTGGCCCCTTTCTCAGAATTCACTTTCATATCTTTCTTTTCCTCTTTTTCTTAAAGATTTATTTAGTTATTTTAGAGACAGAGAGAGTGGGGATGGGAAGGAGCTGAGGGAGAGAGAGAGAGAGAATCTCCGTCAGACTCCCCACTGAGCATGGCGCTCGACTCATGGGCCAGATCTCACGACCCTGAGCCGAAACCAAGAGTTGGACGCTTTTTTTTTTTTTTAAAGATTTTATTTATTTATTTGACAGAGAGAGACACAGCGAGAGAGGGAACACAAACAGGGGGAGCGGGAGAGGGAGAAGCAGGCTCCCCGCAGAGCAGGGAGCCCGAGGCTGGACTTGAGCCCAGGACCCTGGGATCGTGACCTGAGCCAAAGGCAGACGCTTAACGACTGAGCCTCCCAGGCGCCCCCTCACTTTCATGTCTTTAAATAGAAATAATTCACTTGGCACAAAACAGGCTTCTCGCTGGTGCTGATGGTACTCAACTAACATTCTTCCCCTGTCTTCGATTCTGCAGTAAAGACTGAGCAGCTTGTTGCTCCTAATTTTTCTTCACCTCCCCTACTGTGATCTTAATTTCATAACTCCCTAAAACTTTTTATGCATATCAGAAAGTCTGATGGGTGGTTGTCTCCGTGTGAGATTCTGCCTGTGGGCTTGCATACGCTATGTTTAGTGGCCTTCCTTTATAACCGTGTGTATCTCATTTTTTGCAGTTGCATTCTTACTGTGGACTCAAGCGGTGATGAAGAATTTGAGCCCTGTAAGTAGCGTCCCCCCAAAGCAGTAATTTCCGTTTCAAGGCGTAACTTAACCCTGTCTTTGTGGAGATGACTGAAATGTGGTTTGGGACAGCTGGTGTGAGCCGGTCCTGGGTTTGTCTCCCGTAGGGACTCTCTCCAGATTGATGAGACAAAGACCATTTCCCTGCTGTTAGGAGCAGAGACAGTTCTTTGGGCTTGTTTTGCAGTTTGCTACCTTGACCTTTTTCATGCTAGGCCTCCTGACTTTTATTTCCTCTCTAGCTCACATGGGGCAGGGTTGGGAGTATATAAGTCTCCCATGGATTTTAACCAGCCCTAACTTCTGGACTTGGGCTTGAGGGAGTTAAAGATGTGGGTAACTAGGTTTTTATCCTCCTTGAGATGCTTCCTGAGACCCTCTTTCTTTCTCTGATTTAGTTGGAACCAAAAAGAAGGGGCAGAAAGGGAACACGAGGTGAGTAGGAAAATTAGCGAAATTTGACGTTTGTTGAAGAATGATGTTGTGGGTAAGAAGTTTTATGAATGAACGTCACATTTCCTCTCTGAGCACTATGTTCAGGGTCATAGGGGGTATCTGATCTCACAGCCAGATTCAATGTATTAGATCTTTATGCCAGGCGCGTTATCTAATTGGTCAGTTTCTTCCTCGGAACGTCTTTGTGATTGATTCGTCCTCTAATTTCCACTCTCCACTCTTCAGGCCCTTATAGACCCACGTGCCAGACTGTAGGAGGTGCTAAGAAAATTGACTGGAATAAATCCAAAATAGGATGTTAGTTAACTGATGTTTCCACATTGACTCCTTGAATTACCATAGTGGGTTTGTTGAGGTATGATTTACATAATGGCAAAGTTCACCCTTTTAGGTGTACGGTTTGATGAAATTTGACAAAGCTATATGGTAGTGTAAACATTACCACAATCAGAGAGGCGATGCAGGATATTTTCCTCACCGTCATTTACATTTTATTTTATTCTTTAATTTTTAAAAAAAGTTTTGTGTTTTGACAATACTTTTATTTTTATCTTTATTTATTTATTTTTGTGAGTAAAGCAATAGAAGTTTATTAAGTGAAGACAGAAAAAGCTCTCAAGAGTGAGAGGACTCCCCACAGGGTTGCCCTATATTTTTATTTTTTATTTTTATCTTTTTTAAGACTTTATTTTTTTTTTAAGTGATCTCTACACACAACGTGGGGCTTGAACTTACAACCCCAAGATCAAGAGTCGCTCGCTCCTCCGACTGAGCCAGCCAGGTGCCTCTACAGTACTTTTTGTTTGTAATTTTTAAATTTTTAATTTTAATTCCAACATAGTTAACATACAGTGTAATACTAGTTTCAGGGGTACAGTGTAGTGAGTTGGACTTCCGTATGTCACCCGGTGCTCATCACGTTCGTCATTTACATTTCAAATGCTTTATCGTGGTTTCTTAGTGGTTTCCAGTGTTATACATAATAAAGTCCTTATTTGATATAATAAAGTCCTTATTTGATAATACATTTAAATATCCCATTTTTAAATGGAAAAATTGGTTTCTTCCTGCCTCCACTAGATAGATGTCGAACAAATACATTGAGAAAATCTGTTTTAATGGGCCTGCTGGGAATGCCCACAGGTCTTGGTCCAGTCCCTGGAAGCTACTATAGTGGGATATTGGAGGAAGGGTGGAACTGGGGAGGAAGGGGAAGAGTTCAGTTTTGGGCATGTGGAAGTGGAGGGGCCCGTAGGCAGGGCCGATACTCAAGACATTTAACGACCAGTAGAGTACAGATGGGGACAGTCAGGATGACTGCCCGACCCGTTGGAACAGACCCCATCAGTAAACAGCGGCTAAGGCTCTTCCTGAGCTTTGCTGCCAGTCAGCCCTACCCATAGGATACCCAGGTAGGAAGCTGGAACTGTGGAGCTGGAAGTCAGGTGCACGGTTGGGCTGGATATAATGGCTTGTGCTGGCGGAGAGCTGACGGCCACGCAGTCCTTAGGAATTGATTAGCTTGGTGTGAAGGCACTGTGGAGAGAAAGCCTGGGAGTGAGCTGAGGAGGAGTGGTGAGTGAGAAGGAGTGGATGGAGGGCGGGAAGAGAACCGAAACGGAACAGTAACTTGGAAATCCAGAAAAGAGTTTTCAGGAGGGAATGACCAACAGGAGAGCCAAGGTCCCTCAACCTGGCAGCTTAAACGTGGTGAAGATGAAAAACGGAAAACCAGGAACAACGATTGAGTAGTTCCGAAGAAGGGGAACAGAGTTACTGTGGGGAATAAGCCAACAGAACATTTCCAGGTGCTCATGTTCATGGTAGAGGAGTCAGGAAAGGCTGTGAACAGAAGACCGTGGTGCTGACGTTTCTCTTTTGTTTTTCCCTGTCTCCTCACTCAGCTATGTGGTGATTGACTCGGACTCTGAAGATGAATACTGCAGTGATAAAGTCAGAGCTTACATATCTGACATAAGCAGCGAAGGCAAGTATACTAGTAACCGAGGGAAGTAGCTGAGTTTGCAGCCCCATCACGTGGTGGCGTCGGGTTACGCGTCAGCAAACGTTTGATTCCGGCACCCACTTAGGAGCAGGTGCTGCCATTTCTTCCCTCGTGGGTGCTGGATGTGGTTATGGCCGGATTCCCCACACACACCCCCTCCCTGGTGAATTTCCAAAGACAGCAGCAACTGTTCTCGGCGCTTTAGACCTTGACCATCCCCCTCCATAGAGTTCTGACCTGCCTATATATAGGGTCCCCCCCCCCCGCCACCTATACATAGGGATCGGCGGGGGGGAAGAAAGTCAGGAACTGACACTAGGAAGGTATGAACGCTACTCTGCTACTCCACCCCCCCCCCCCCCCCGTCCCTGCCACTCTTTTCCTCCTTCTCTGTGTGTGGGAATGACAAAGAGAGGGAAGGTGAGAGGCTTGGGCTCATTCTTTCCAGCCTGGTGGAGACTTAGGTGGGTGATGGTGCTGAGTCAGCGCACAGTGACTTCTCCGGGGAACCCTTGCTTTCTCCAGCTAGCTGTGAGTCTTTGCCTTTCACCATTCTCCGCCTATTTTCTAGAGATTTCTGTTCTTCTCAGAGCCCATCGCCCACAGCTGATCTTTGCACCTTTGGCTTCAGAGGCTCTTTTAAAAACCTTTCCAGAGGCATGGAGCTATACTCGTAGTTCAGAACCTGTTCAGTGGGGGTGAAACGTAGGAAGACTAGGAGCTTCTTCTTCTTCTTTTTTTTTTTTAAGATTTTATTTATTTAATTATTTGAGAGAGAGCGAGAGCAGGGGAGGAGCAGAGGGAGAGGGACAAGCAGACTCCTCGCTAGTGTGGAGCCTGATGCGGGGCTCGATCTCACAACCCCTGAGATCATGACCTGAGCCAAAATCAAGAGTCGGATGCTTCACCCATTGAGCCACCCAGGCGCCCGAAGACTAGGAGCTTCTTAACCCTCAGGGATGGTACTTTTTTGATCCTTGTTCGCTTAGTACCAGATATAGGGCATGATACCTAGGCCTTTCACTAAGGTATCAGCACCTTGAAGGTACTGGCGACTTCTTTAGTAACTACCAAAGAGCTACCATTGGCCAGATTCCTGGCTAACCTGGATTATCAGAGCACGGAAAGGAGAGGTGGCTTGGAACCCTAGTCTGCTGTTTCACTACCTGTCCCCTCTCTTTGATTTTTCCTCTCCTCTCTAGCTCGGAGTGGATGTGCCTGAGTAGGACAGAGGTCCAGGTGCAGAGTAGGGGGCATGACGTGACGAGCCACTGTAAGGGGCCAAAGGGAGCCCTAAGAGAGGTAGCTTTAGAGTAGGGCATGAGACGGGACGCCTGGGTGGCTCAGTTGGTAAAGCGTCTGCCTTCGGATCAGGTCATGGTCCCAGGGTCCTGGGATCGAGTCTCACATCACGCTCCTTGCTGAGTGGGGAGCCTGCTTCTCCCTCTGCCTGCCACTTCCCCTGCGAGTACTCTCTCTCTCTCTCTCTCTCTCTCTCTGTTAAATAAATAAATAAATAAATAAATAAAATCTTAAGAAAAAAATAGAGTAGGGCATGAGAGACAGCCGGAAAGCAGTTCATCACCATAGGTGACCACTTGCTGACTCGTTTCATCAGAAAATCCTTATTTTTTTTGAGGAGGAACTTTGACCTGCGGCTGCTCTTACCTTTCTGACTGGTGGACTCTTACCTGTGGGCGTTTATCCCCGTAAAGGAGAGCTGGAGAATGCTCCAGTAGGACTGTCTTTGTAGGTCTCCCTACTGTTCTCCACATGCCACTTCTTTCCTTCTTGTCATGAATTGAGGTGATGTTACAGAAAAAGGGCTTGAACACAACACTTCTGAGGTCACTTCTAACCTTTGTCAATGTATAGTCATTGTTCTTTTGTAGATTATAAGCAGTGGGCCCCTCCCCCTCCCCCCCTCTTTTTAAAATTTCAACTTCAGTTGAGAAATCTTTAAAATTTCTAGGAGGGATGACTTTTTACCATAGCAACACGCACTCCTTTCTCTTTCTTTATTGCATATCCGAAGTTCTTTGATAATGAAGTGATAGATGAGACTCTCAAAGTGTGTGATCCCAAATCTGCAAGTGCAGGATAAAGACTTTTTGCACCGTAAATATATTGTCACATCTTGCCTGTGCCATGGTTTGTATATATATTTTTAAAGATTTTATTTATTTATTTGTCAGAGAGAGAGAACACAAGCAGGGGGAGAGGCAGGCAGAGGGAGAAGCAGGCTCCCCGCCGAGCAGGGAGCCCGATGCGGGGCTCAATCCCAGGACCCTGGGATCATGACCTGAGCCAAAGGCAGCGGCTTAACCGACTGAGCCACCCAGGTGCCCCGGTTTATATATTTTTTTACATCCAGAACCCAAGGAACCTGGAAGGTGAGCTCTGAACAGACTCCAGAGAGCGTGTGTGGTGGTAGATATGCCACGCCTCATTTCTAGGTGAAGGGACCCTTGGCAAACATTCCAAATGTTCCCAAGGCTTCTCAGTGCTGGCATGAGGACTGACCTCCTCACGCTTACATCAGTGGCTCTGAGAGCTTTGCATTTGTGGACTAGTTAGAAAATTAAATTTTGGTCGCTATCATAGAGTTGCCACTTTTTCATTTGTCTAACGATGGGAATAAATTCTAACTAACATGTGCTATCGCCATAATTTCATAAGGTAAAGAAACCAAAAGTTTAGGGAGGATATACTCTCAAAATAAAGGACAGTCCTTTAAATTATAGAGATTGAACTTGATAGGGGGAAAAAAAAAAACCACATTATTTTTCTGATTTATTTTTCTGTGGACCAGAGAAAACATACAAGTCTGCAGAGCTGTGTTTGGGAACTACTGAGCACCTGCAGTGTGCGACTGACTTAGAGAATGTGATTTGAAAATTGCCACTGGGCTTGGATTGCTATTTTATCTGTTACTGCTCTCAGTAAAGTAAAAAAGTTATGGAGCGAAAACAATCTGAAATAATTGATTCTTCTTTTAATTTTAATTTTTAAAATTTTTTAAAGAAGATTTTATTTGAGAGAGCGAGAGAGAGAGCACGAGCAGGGGGAGCGGCAGGCAGAGGAAGAAGCAGGCTCCCCGATGAGCAGGGAGCCCAATGCAGGACTCGATCGCGGGACCCCGGGATCATGACCTGAGCCGAAGGCAGACTCGTAACTGACTAAGCCTCCCAGGCGCCCCTATTTTTATTTTCTTATTTTAAATTTTAGTTAGTTAACATACAGTGCACTATTGGTTTCAGGAGTAGAATTGAGTGATTCATCACTTACATACAGCACCCAGTGCTCATCCCAACAAGTGCCCTCCGTAATACCCATCCCCCCACGCACCTCCCTCCATCAATCCTCAGTTTGTTCTCTATCCTTAAGAGTCTCTTACGGTTTGTTTCCCTCTCTCCTTTTTTTTCTTTTTCCCCTTCCCATTTGTTCATCTGTGTTCTTTCTTTAATTCCTCATGTGAGTGAAATCATATGGTATATTTCTTTCTCTGACTGACTTGTTTCACTTAGCATGATACGCTCTAACTCCATCCACGTCAGAGAACAGTATGGAGGTTCCTCAAAAAGTTAAAAATAGGCCTGCCCCATGACTCAGCTATGGTATTTACCCAAAGGATACAAAAATACGGATTCAAAGGGGTACGTGCACCCCAATGTTTATAGCAGCCTTCTCAACAATAAAATAACTGATTCCCAACTGTGATTCGTGATGTCACCATTTCCAGCTTGTTTAATTTGTGCTCAGTAATCTGAAGTTGAGTGTATGGGGTGGGCGGAGGGAGTATATTTATGTGTGGTTGTGTCTCTTGAATTTCAGATGAGATTCTGGATGTGTTATCCAATACTGAGGAGCAGCCTCCTACCAAGGAGCCTCCAATACTTATCACTGACGATGATAGTGATTTTGAGGGCCCTGTGCTCATAATAGACGAGGATTCGTGTGATCAGGGCCCAACTGCCCCAAAGGAAAAAGAGATGGAGGTCTTCAGTGTCTCCCAGCGCAATTCATCTCACGACGTTGGTGAGCCGAATCTTGGTGAAAATGTCGGCCAGCCTGCGAACGGCACTGAGGCTGCAGTGGAGATTGCCGATGAAGAGCCTGCACCTGTGGTGGAACAACCACAGAAGAGGAAGAGGAAGACCAAGAACGCATGTGTGACACCCAGTAAGCCGGACATATCAGGTAGGCCCGACCTCCTGAATCCGCCCCGCCCACCCTGCGTGCCAGCCACGCCTGCCTCGCCCTTTGCCCTGGACATGTCTGTCTGGTCAGGTCGGCCTGTCCTGCCTACCGACCTCGGGCCATCTCAGCAGCTTCCTAGTGGCTAAGGGAGACAGCCATCCCAGGGAAAATGATCTTTCTGGAAATGGGGAAGGAACACCCGTGTCTTAGGAGTCGCACTTCCCTCGTCCTGGCATGCTTTCTCTCTGTGCTTTTTGTCCTGAGGAGATCCTGTTCTTCTTGGGACCCAGCCCAGTTGTCGGTTCCTGTGGGAAGCCGGACGTCAAGAGACGCTCCTCCCTCCTGGGTCCTCGTAATTCTCAGACCCCGTCTCTGCTAAAGCACTTACCCAGCTGTCTGACAATATGTTTCTGAATCTGCA